GTTTCTACTATAACCACAGATCTAATTTCTATGATTCTGGGAGGTACAGTATTAGTTCTTAGAGTCTGTCATTATCCAGTTTGTATCTGATGCTATTGTTGTTGCTGATTTTACTACTTTAGCCTAGGTGACAGAATTGTTGGTTTCAGTCAGATTTCTCTGTAAGTCAATATCTAGATTGCCTGGAAATCTTAAACAATAAAGCATCCCTTTTCCATAGAATTGGGTACTGGGAAAAACAGGCTGCAACAGTCCCTCCCTAGTGAATGAAGGTGGTTTCATCCTGAGAAAGACCAAAAGTCCAACAGCTGGCTACACACGGGAAATATTTCTGAAAAGTAGACATTACCTAAAGAATTTTCAATATTATCAGTAAAGCTACACACTGTAAGAAATCTGCAGGTCTCAGCACAGAGAAAAATAAAATAAAAAGTAGATTTTAAAAAACCACAGAAACAAAGTGCTTCAAAAATCTTTCAATTCCACCAAAGCAAATCCAGCTGCCATTGTGGGGGAAGGAATAAAAATTCACACAGCCAAAATATCAGAAATTGTGGCAGTGGAGGTAACAAAAGAGGTCAGTAAGATGTTTGGTGAATTCAAAGAAGGGACAATTAAAATGATGATGATCCTAATAAAACAAATGATCAATAAGTCAAGAAAATATGATAATCAACTACAAGAACTTTAAAAAACATGAGCACCATAAATTCTTACATCAGAAAATAATTAGAGCTCAAAAAAGAATTTCAAACAAGACTCCAGGATAATTAAAAATGTATTTAAAGTATAGATATCAGAATTGGCCGGTGTGTGTAGAGAGTGTTAGAGTAGAAGACAGGGCTGTCATTCGTGATGAGTTAATGAGTGATATTGTCTTAGTGACTTCTCTCATTGCTGGTACAAAGTACTTAACATCCAAAGTCAAGGGTGAAAAGGTTTAATGCACTCTCAGTTTGTTGAGATTTCACTCCATAGGTAGCCAGCTGCAAGGCAGGGTGGCTTTCCGGCAGGATAACACAGAGGAAAAAAATGGCAAAGCAGGCAGGACAGACTAAAGCAGCAAGCAGCAGCAGAAGCAAAACTGCTTTTGCATTTTATCTCAAACAGGCTACAATCTTTTCCAGTGGTGCCAACTACACCCAGCGTTGGACTTCTGTCTTTAATAAATATATTTGTTAACACCCAGATCTATACTAATTCC